GAGAAAAATTAAACGAACGTGAGTGGGCGCAAAATGAAACGAATTCGTGGGAATGAAGCTAAAACGGCGAAGAAATGTGTACAGATTTCTTCGTTTTCGGTTGTTCGGCAGAGGGGCTGCGGAGAGGAAGTTTCGAGGAAACTTCCTCTAAACTTCCGGCCGGGGCTGTGGAAGTTTGGCCGGGTCGGAGAGGAAGTTTGGTGGAAGTTTGGGGCTGTATTTTGTCGGCACAAACACACAGAAGCAGCTGCCGAAAGTGATCATCTGTTGGTGGTTTGTGTCTTCAAAACCACGGAAAACCTAGCTTTCAAGCACCAAAAAGCGAGTGGAAGTTTCAGCCGTGGGGTGTGGAAGTTTGGTGGAAGTTTGGCCCCGGCCGGTTCTACAGAATCCGAGAGAATCTCTCGGATTCTACAAAACCCTGCTGTACAGATTCTCACGAAATCTACAACGCAATGGAGGTTAAAAATCTGTACGCACCTTCTCCCCGTTTCCACAAATTCGTTTGCAAAAGTGTGCTTCAATTTCGGTTAATCTTGGCATTGACGAAATCGTAGGAATCAATTGATTCCTAAGAAATCAACTGATCTAAGTTTTTAGTATAACCCAGTCTCTTGGGCAGATTCAAATCACCAATCAGACGCGACCGACCCTCCCGGGGGGACCTTCACATGCTTTGTGCATAGGATGATGAACCATGGTGTACGTCTACACCCAGTTGATACGATCGACGCGACAGTCACTACTATCAGCATCCGTTTTGGGCTGCTGCAAAACGGGAGGCCGGAGGCAACTGTATGGGAGTTTCCGAAAATAGGGGACCCTAATATAGTAATTACCTAAATACTAGGACCCTTATTATGAGGACCCCCGAATAAGGTACCCCTCATTTTCGGAAACTCTGTATACCAGCCGCTTGAAATCAAACTGCTCGGCTCTGAGCCGCGCAATCTCGGATACTGCCCTGAAGTAGTTCCTTTTGGGGGTTCATATTTAGAATCCTATTAAGTAATTCCAAAAAGGAACTACTTTGGGGCCTATGGGTAGTAACCCTAACGGTCCATGTACCTAAATAGTATATACATTGGCCTTAAAGTACTCCGTAAAGGGGTACATTGGGCCCGAAGTGCATACTATTTGGGTACATGGACCCTTAGGGTAAATTATCGCGTGTCGAAATCTCCATTTGAAGTATTCTTTTGGATTTAGTTTTCAACTTGCCTCTTCAGCCGGCAACGGCCGGTATCGTGGACTTTGGCAGGAATAGAACAGAGTGTGGTTGCATAGAGGGTTCAGCGATGGAGACCGAATCTATATAGTCTGTCCACTCTTTGACATATGTAATGATGGATATGACGACTACTTAAGATGACGATGACAATGACAATGCCAGTTGACGACAACTACCGCGATGACGGGTGCGATGAGTGTGATAGACATGGTGAGGAAAACGCAGACTGTTATGAGAAGCCTACTAGCACCACCCGTTCTACGGCCTCACAATCGACGAGAAGGGCTGCACTGGTAGTTCTAATCCAAGCCGTTGCCGTTGCAAACGTTGTCGCTGCTGCCACTAATGGTGTGATTGTGGCGAAGGTAAGGGTACTAATTCATGGCGCGTAAGGTTTTGCGAAACAGGCCCGAGAACTCAGGGTTAAATTTTAGAAGATCTGACAACGAGGATGCCTGTTGCAAACCCTACCGCCGACGTCCTAACTTCGAACAGAAACCCTAAACTCTGAACCTTGCACCCTAAATCCTTAGCCTTAAGCCATGACTTGTTGAAGACGCACAAGGGCCCGGCTCCCCAAACGGAGAAGCCCCGGTGCCAGGCGGGCTGGGCTTTGCCTGAGCTCCGAAGAGGGCCATCGCAAGACCAAGTCATGGGAATAATGTAGGAACCTTATTAAGAAACCTTGGGCCTTTATTGGGGTTCCTGAAACGAATCCAACAATTTGGGGGTTATAGGCCCAGGGTTTCTTAATCAGGTTGCTACATTACCTCAAAGAATGGTCTGCTGGGCTACACATTACACAAGTATTGTTTAAGAAATTGGGTGATTTCGAAAGCAAATTTACTGGCTCTCTGAGCTTTGCGAGCTTCGGAAGCACAGAGCTCGGATGCTCTTTTCTGGGTGTGGGATTCATGCTTTAATGCGCAGGTCATAGGATAGATGCCGTGGATTTGCACATTGGCGGGCAAAACACTGGGAAGCAGAATGTGGACACAGATCTGCAACACGGCTTAACGCTCCGAGTCATGAACCTGAGCTGACAGGGTAGTCTGGCGATGCTTGGCAGCCAAACTGCACTGTCCAAGTACTATCTCTGACAATCAGGCAGCAACCGGGCAGTACGGCCTGTGGCTGTATCCCACCAACTTTGAAAGCTTGTCTAAACCACAACAGTGCACCGATGACAAACCCAAGCACTCAAACATGCTGTACCGTAAGCCTCAGACAGTATAAGTTCCACGACTCGCAGACCATACCCAACTCACGGCATAACTGAGGCTTCGGGCACGAGCACCGCAGCAGAACATCTGGCAGGGATCATTATCCCAGAACCCCTACGATCCTAAGCCTTCCCGGGCCTGCTGCCTGCAGTAGTTATGCCCTGAACCCGAGATCCCGGTAAGGCATGGCAAATGCAGCATGCACGACCAGTTGAGGCTTGTGCGAGTTTCGAGGTGAAGGAGGTTGATTGGGCATGGTCCTCACTCGCCCCGGAAGTGCTGCCGAACCAAAATCAACGCATCTATGCAACATACCTCATTTCGGATGTGTGATTCATGCATGGATGCATGGATGCTTTGATGCCTGGATACATGGCTAAATGGATGGGTGGGTGGCTGGATGGATGTACTTGTAGTCAAAGAACTAAACAATCCACAGCGAAACAAAACAAAGAACGCAATAGTAGATATCTCACATACGTACATACATGCACACATATCTGTACATGTATTACATATACATATATAAATAAATACATATATATATATATATATACATGTATGTGTGCGTGTGTGTGCGCGTGTGATCCTTCGCGTTCTGCAGTGGTCTCCGGCATACTCTGCAATATGGCACCTTACTACCCTGATGTGTGCTAGCCAACACCCCAAAAACTGCGGTGACGTGATGTTGTAGGGGCTTCACACAAGAAACTCACATCGATGTGACCCCAAAGCAGGAAAGTGCAGAGACATGCAGCTGCAGATACATATTTGCTGAAACAAGTATTTGATCTATATGGTGCCATTTGAATACATGTCACGTATGTATGTATATTATATATATATATATATATATATGTACATAAATGATACGTGCATGTCTACAGACGCCCGATGACACTCTCTGGTGCCGTCCCACATATGGCACCTCGGCCATCTGCGCCCAGAAGGAGTCCATGGCTACTGTACCGCTCTATGGTAAGCCAACTCTTCCACGGCTGTCGAGCCATCACACAGACCACTTGTGCATCTCGGTTCCAACAATGCCTGGCCTTGGACAGGAGAGACGCGCGACTTCGCTTAAAGCATCATGGGACTTAACCAGTCACTACAGAGATCAGTCGAGCAGCTATATATTTAACCAGACTCCAAACTCAATTACGGTACTTATCACCTTACTGACTAGGTCCCATGACCCTCCAAGTGTGCTTAACCAGGGCTAAACTAACGGGTTTAGGTTTAGGGAACCTAAGGAACCATTACTTCTCTTCATAGCTTCGGCAACGGCTACGGCTGGTGTCACTGCTGCAACCTACGATCTTCCAGCTGCAGACCTGTGACTCCTTCACGAATAAATTCACAATCTCTGCTGAAGCTTGAGAAACCGCCACACCAATTGGACGTCTGCCTTCCGTTTCTCAACTGCATCGTCGCGTGCAGCTTGTGAAGGTTGGCTTTGCCTTCCGGGCTGTATGTAGGTCTCTTGAAACAAGTGCCCCGGATGGTGGCACTGAGCTGTCTGCCGTTTTTGCAGACTGCTGGACTTCGCACAGGATTCGGTGCAGACTCAGTAAGTAGTCCTGAACGTTGCAACTTCTGCATGTAGGTGTGTATGCGCGCGTGAAGAGACAGAGACAGAGAGAGAGCGAGAGAGAGAGACGGACAAAGGCATATGCGTTTAAAGACTGCTCCTGCATTTTGCAGTTGCTCATTACATGGGAACTCTTCGGGGAGATGGGATCCTGAATCATCCACATCCTCCGCCACAGAGCTGTTGGGCCGGTCGGACATGTCGTGAATGCCTGACAAAGAAAGAAAACTCGACGTAACTGCAAGGTTATCGGGCTGAGGATTTTGAGTTTGTTGACCCTCTTCAGCACGTGTGGGTGTGCCAAGATGTAGCTGCATGGGCATGGCAACCTGGATGCAGCCACGGCGAAAGACTTTCCTGGGTGCCTCTTGGGAGCTTGAAATGGAACGGACAACTTGACAACAAAACGGGATTCTACAGTGCTCCGCTGCTTGTATCCAGGTCGGTTGTCTCTTTGCTATGACGAAGATACAGCCGAGTAACAATGCTGCCGTAAGCCATGCAAGCCTCGAACTCCTCCGTGCTTCAACGCCATATCTTAGCCAGGCATACTTATAGAATTTGCATGAAACCTTCTGAAACTATTTTCTGCACCTAGTTCTACCCTCGCAAGCACCCTGTGTGAACAAATCATACTTGAGCAGAAACTGATTTATGTAGGGTTTAAGGTTGATTCCTGCTTCCATCAAGTTGCTCGGGGCTGTGTGGAGCCCGAGAGCAAAGTCTCTAAACCTGCAGCACAAAGCTCAAATCCAAACAAACAACTCTCTCAAGGCTTTAGGCCTACACTCCTCAGTCGTCAGCAGACCTCATGAGACCCGACTCCAAAGTCCTAAATCAAAAAGTCCTAAACCAAAAAGCCCCAAAGCCCAAAAACCCAAAAGCCCTCCTTAAAGCCCCAAAGCCCCACAAACGCCTCAAACCCCCAAAGCTCCAAAGCCTCGGCCGCTTAGCCTCAAAGTTGCTCGACTCGGGGTCCCTGTGCTGTCAAGAGGCTTAGGGCTTAGGGCTTATAGGGTTTATAGGGTGTATAGGGTTTTCAGGGATTATAGGGCTTGTAGGGCTTATAGGGTTTATAGGGTTGATATGGGTTTATAGGGTCTAGGGCTTAGGGTTTTTTGGGGGGTCGGGTTTTGGCCGTCGGAGGGGCATTGCTTCTTTCTCGCTCCGAGCCCGCCCCCGGAGGCTCACTCGCTCACTTGCCTTACGGTGGCGGGCCTCCCTAAAACCCAAACCACAAGAACAAAACCTTCTCAAACCCCCACACACACGCACACAAAAAGATAACGTATCGTTGAAAAGGTTCTTCGTCGGTTTGATGGGGTGTTACAAGATTTCCTAGCGAAACATGGACCTTGATGATGGCTGTCTTGGTTCGGTCGGGGGCCTCGCAAGGCTTTGCAGGAAGGTGGTACGGTTGATGATATAAATCCTGCATTACCTTAAGGACCCTAAACTATGGGAATTATGGTATATTCCTTATTATGGGTCATGCAGGATTTATATCATCAACCGTATTGCTCATTTCTTTCGGGTGAGCGGGCTGAGGGTTCAGAGTTTACGGCTTTGAGGCTTCGCTGCTTGGGTGGGGAGTTAGAGACTTTACCCGGAGTCCAAGAACCTTTCAAACAGCGCGTTGGCCATAGATATTCCTGTTTCGGGTACAAACCTGGAGAAGAAACATAAACCCGTAGAAATGCCGGAGTTAAATCCCAAAACCCTTGCACCCCTAAACCCTAAACCCTGAACCCAAAACAATAATGAACCCTAAACCCTAAACCCTTGAACATTCAACCCCAAGCCCTAAAATCCTCTAAGCCCTAAACCCTGGATCCCAAGACTCTGGAGCCTGAACCCTAAAAAATCCCAAAGACCCGAACACGGGTACACTAAGGCCTGCAGCGCAGCCGAAACCCCAAAGATCCAAAACATCAAACTGCGGCCGCAGCGTTCCGGATAGTTTGTCTTGTTCTAACTATAAGGGCATAGAACCTGAGTATATCATTTCCTACAAGTTACATAAAGCTTACATAAAGCAAAACCCAGAGCCTCCAAAACCCCTGAATTAAGGACTATACCTTAAAATCAGATTAGGGATCCTATTATAATTTAGGGTATATTCCTTAATTAAGGGGTTTTGGAGCCCTCCGGCCTCGCCAATCACCGGAGCAGTTGGCCGCATCTAGAGGGCCGCTACGAGTTCGGGGGTTTAGGAATTCTCTGGCTTTAGAGGTTTAGGGCTTTGGGGTTTACGGCTTTTTAGATGTTTAGGTTTTAAAGAGGGTCTAGGGTTTTGGGGTATAGAGATTTCGGAGTCTAGGGTTTTAGGGTGTGGGTTGTTGTTATTGTTGTGGGCTCGCTCCTTGCACTCTGTTATAATCAGAAAAGGCTTTAGGGTTTAGGTTTTATAGGGTTCTACCAGACGGAGGGCTGTCCAAGTTGTGGATTCAGGGCTGGGTTGGGGAACAGCGCTGCAGGCGTTCAGGGCTCACGGTTCGACATCAGGGTCCCTTTTCGCCCCTCTGCTTCAACTGCCCTTGGCAGGGGCAAAGTGTAGATCTCAGAATAATTCTTAACTTTTTGCTAGACTGCCTGGTACTACTAGTATGCCCCAAAACCATCTTGCAGATATTCAGGCCCTGCTATAGTACCCCGAACTTGTGAACTCGGTTTCCAGACGTGCCTAAGACGGGAGCCTCTGTCGAGAAGGACCCGAATTGCGGCCTCGTAATGATCAGCCCCACTCCTCAAAACATAATATAGTAGAAGCCAGAAAGTTGGAATATCATTATCGTAACCCCTTTAAGGTAAAGTGTATGTGATCCTACCATTAATCCATATTCCAACTTTCTGAAGTTCCCTTTAATGGGTTCACGGTATAGGGGTTTGGGGTTTAAGGCCTTCAGATAGGACAACAGCCTAAACATAAATCCTATATTGCCACACCCCACTCTCTTACAACGCGTTTCTTACCCACAGCCATCTTAGCAATGAGGCCTTGAACCGACTGAAAAAGCTGAAACATGTGTCAAACGGGGCGCCTTACAAACTTGCTTTCCTCCCAAGCCTAAGATTCTTAGACGAAGCCCTCGACTTATCCCATAAACTTCACCTTCTCTGTGCGAAGGATCCTCCAGAAGCACAAAGCCTTACCGACACAATTCCGAAAAGTCCCGAAAGCCCCAAGAACCCCAAGGTGGTCTCGGGCGGAAGGTGGTCTGCCTTGGGAGGTGGCGTTGTCCCTTCTGCGATGCCATCACTGCCGGAGATCCCTGGCACAAACTTTGGAGCTAGGGACTGGGATTTAGGTTTTGGGATTTAGGTTTTAGGGTTCAGGGTTTAAGCTTTATGGATTTATGGGGTTTAGGAAAGTTAGAGTTGGGGCTTAGGGCGACTTGTTTCCCCATGTCACGACGACGCATCCTCCAGAAGAATGGCTCTAACAACCCATGATACTCAAGACAAGGGACGCAATGCAAAACATAGATGGCAAAAGGCTGCAGGCAAGCAGAACTGCCGACACCATAGCCTTCCGAATATAGAAAACTCTTCATGTCGGGTTTAGGGTTCAGAGCTCAGGGAATCTTAGGGTTAAAGGATGACTCTTCATGATCAACTCCATCCCCGAAGCCTTTGGCGTTACCTTTTTCTGTCCCAGAATCGGGGCTCTGCTTACTGTTTCGATTGTTTAGCCGATCTGCTACTACTACTACCACTACTACTACCACTACTCCTACTCCTACTCCTACTACTACCACTACCACTACCACTACCACTACCACTACCACTACTACTACTACTACTACTACTACTACTACTACTACTACTACTACTACTACTACTACTACTACTGCTGCTACTACTACTACTACGACTGATGCTATGCAGCTATGCATACTAGTTGCAATAGGTGATACTTAATACCGTCACGACTGCGACGACGACGGTGACGATGACGGCAGCGGCGACGACGACTGCCGCTGCTCCTGCCAATCCAGCGGCAGGACCAAAGACAACAGACAAAAAATCAAGCCGATAGTATATTGCAGCCTGAGTTTAAACCCGAACAACCAAAAAAAACCTATAAACACTAAAAGCCCTAAACATCATAAACCCTAAAAGCCCTAAAAATCCTAAACCCCATAAAGCAAAACAACAAACAACAAACTAAAAACCCTCAAACCCATAAACCCTAGAAGCCCCTAAAACCCTAAACCCCATAAACCCTAAACGCCCTAACAATCCTAAAACACCGAAAAAAACCATAAACCCCTAACAACCCTAAAGCCCATAAACCCTAAAACAACCCTAAAATCCTCAAGCCCATAAAACACAAAAGCCCTACAACATCCTCAATCCCATAAACCCCAAAACAGCCCTAGAACCCTAAAACCCTATAAACACCTAAAGGCGGAAGCCTTCCGGTCCCAAGCAAGCGGCCTGGCAGCTGCACTTGTGCCGCCGCCTCGGTCCTCGGCGATTGTAAGGCTTTTGGTTATAGGGCTTTTGGTTATAGGGCTTTAGGGTTTAGGGGTTAAGGGTTTAGGGATGTAGGGTTCAGGGATTTAGGGTTTGGGATGTAGGGTTTAGGGGTTTAAGGGCTTATGGGTTTAGGGGTTTAGCACGGGCAGTTCTCTATATTAGGATGCCTATTTGAAAGGTCCCAGACAAGTACTGCAACATCAAGGACCCTGAGAGAGACTCTAGTTTACCCACATGGAGGCTGCAAAACTATGATTTTAATGGAAGTGCTATACATTCATACGAGGGATGTGTAAAATGCTACAAACTTTTGGCCTTTTTGACTTAATCTACGGGCCTGAGAGATCGGGATAGGGCTTTTTGTGTGCATTCTAACTGTAGAATACGTATTACTCTGGAGCCTTATGGGGGTTTCCGAAAATAGGGACCCTAATATAGTACCCTAAATAGTAGGATCCTTATTATAAGGACCCCCCCAAAAAAAAGAAGGTACCCGAATTTTCGGAAACTCCCTTATGGCTCGGCAGGCCAACGGTCAAAAGTCCTGAAAGCCCCCCAAAACCTGTACGGTTGGACCTTCGATCCTGAAAAAAAATCCCAGCTCCAATCTTTATTCTTGCCCCTACAATCTAAACCTCTGTAGCAAATAAGCTGAAAAATACAACAGTCTATCCTAAATGTTACACCAAAAATTCCACTCAAAGTCATAAACCCAGGGCTAGGAGCCTAGCGGGTGTCGTATCCAAAACTATACTGAACTTAGAACCCTAGCAAAATTTATAATTTCAGCTGTTTGTTAGGGATTATAATAACCCCAAATTAAAAAAATCTAAGTACCCCTAAGAAAAAAAAGATGCCGACTTCATACAAGGTTTACCGTTTAGCATGTGTTGGGTGTTTAGGGGTTTTTCGGGCCTCTGGTGTATAGTTGTCGGGGTTTAGGGTGTGCAAGGCTTTCAGGCTTCACTTGATTTTTGGTCACAGCCTCACCATGCCAAGACAACAGCCGGAAAAGATTGCTGGAAGGGATTTCGGTCACTGCTCTGCAGAGCCAGCCCCACTCCAAAACCTACACGCAAGAACACTTGCACGCACCAATCCTTGACCAAACGACATAGTGGAACTTACCCTAAGGCCCTAAAGTAGTTCCTTTTGGGGGTTCGTATTTAGAATCCTATTAGGTAATCCCAAAAAGGAACCACTTTGGAGCCTATGGGTAACCCTTAACCCGAGATAGTTCAAGTAGTAGGTTCTCCATGTATCAAGTCTCTCACTGTCTCCTTTCATCTGCTCTTCGTTGATCCAACACTTGGTCATGTATGCAGTAGCCTGGGACACAAATAATTTGAGTCTTTCGGTGTGCCACAATCCAATGGTCGCTTGCAAGTGCTTTCGTTGTTCGTAACGTGCTGCGGAGACCAGATTTGACTCCACGACTCAATTTGCCACAGTCGTAACCGGTTGGCACGGTCCAAACAAGCTCTACCAAGTTCTGAGTCTCGTGAACCCCTAGCAAACAAGGCCAAGATCAAGATTCCAAACATCTTCGTGTTTTTTGGTGCTTCTGCCTATGGGGAGCCCTCCCAAGAAGAATACCGGAACCCCATTCAAGCGCATACAATCCAGCACTCCGAATCCCAATGTTGCTCGCTCACTCCGGTGTTCCGAGAGAACGCTCATCACATCGCTGATGCAAACATCAGCTGCAGCCCCAAGAGCACCTGACCTGAGAGCTCATTGAGAGCTAATTAGTAGGATTTTGGTGGTTTAGGTCTAAGTTTTTGAAGCGGCAGTGTAAAGGTTGAGGCAGCAAGATGCATGACATACTAGACTACATCACAATGTGGCAAAATTCCCTGTCGAGCTCGGTATGACAGGCGCTGTGGTTGCTGACGACACCAACGGCAACGATCAGATCAACGAGCAGCAACGACAACGACGACACCACCGCCAGCACCGCCAGCACCAGCACCAGCACCAGCACCGGCTACGACTGCTACCACTTCTACTTCTACTACTGCTGCTACTACTGCACTTGCCATCGGCGCTGGCACTGGAAGTAGGACTGTGACTGCGCCTGCTATTGTTACTGCTACTGCTGCTGCGACTGCCGCTGCTGCAGCTACCACTATTACACTACTCTTGCTGCTACTACTGCTGCGACTATTGCTGCACTACTATAACTGCGACTACATGATGAGAACGATTATGATTGCTGCCAGGGGTGTTGCTGTTGTGTCTCTGCACAAGAATACTGATGAAGACATGACTGCTGGCCTGTCCCTATTTCCCTACTTTCGCCGCAGCTGCGCATGAGAAAGAAAGTTACACGACTGCAAGGCTGAAACATAGCGGTATCAGCAATCAGCAGGGGCAATGAATAAGCAAAATCACAAGTAATGACACAAACGACACAGAAGGTGCAAAGCTGCATGGAGTACACTGATAACGCTTCTTGCTAGGAGGTCTTGGTGCTATCTCATACTGCTGCAGTTGCAACGCCAGCAGGATGCTGACTCATCCAAAGACATGATCCAACGCGCGGACGAGTCCGGGATAAGCTCGACCGGTATATTGCCGGATGGGTTGGCGTATCCCTTCGTGCAACCTGCCCACCCACAAGTTGCACGAGTTGCACCAGAGAACTCGCAGTCTACGCAGTCACCATCAGCTATGGCACTTGCCACTGCCATGATGCTGGATATGGATCACAAACTCATATGCCTTTTGGCTAGGGCTTGGATCTACTATTCAGCTTCATGTAAAGATGTTGTATTTGTGTATTCAATCTCACGAAAAGGCAAGTACTGCATGTGCACATCCCCGGAAGATGGGTCGATAGTTGAAGGGGCCTCCAAAGGGCCATATTCGTCACTATGTAGATACACAGAGACATCCAGGTCTAGCAATGCGAGGTGCAGGTGTTATCTTGCTCTTCGCAGTGACATGGGAGTTTCAGAAAGTCGGGGAGCCCCCTGTCCCAGTAATTAGTCAGATCGGTGCAACACCCAACGAGTAAGGTCCCCTTAAACCTCTAGACCCTAAACCTCCGAAACCCTATGTTACAATTATAGTCTTATAAGTATAATAGGCCCCCAAAAGCCTATTCTCTTTATTAAGGCCCCTATAATAGACCCTATAATAGGCCCCCAAAACGCTATTCTCATTAGTAATCAGGCATCTATATTCGACCCTAAACCTCCAAACCCTAGCATGTTACACTTATAGTCTTATAGTATAATAGGCCCCCAAAACCATATTCTCATTATTAAAGGGCCCCTATTTCAGACCCTAAACCTCCGAACCCTAGCATGAACCCCTCACATCCGTCTGGGTGCGCTGCGCTCCCTGGGCTCTCGACCGCTTCTCAGCGGGTTCTGTAGGAGCTATAGTAGAAACCGTCCTGCACAGGGTTTAGGGTTTAGGGGAAGTGCGAGAACAGCTGGCTTCTGGGATTTGCGCCTGCAAACTTTAGAGAATCGAACGCTTGTCACAGCCGGGACTGCCGCTACTACAAACAGCAGCCCAACGACAGCTAAGCTCCAATAGACTCTCATTGACGGCTGGAGTCACTACCAGCCTTAGGTTGTTCATACTGCTCTGTGTAATAAAATGCTTGTATGCAATGCTGCGCTGCTGGTTTGGCCTTGCATCCATCATGTCACAACACCTAGTCAGAGGCTCCACATACACTACAATTATGGAATTAGGTACCGAAAGACCATCCCTATTATGGTTTTTGGGACCTTAATTCCATAATGGTAGTGTGTATGGACCCTCTGGGCTAGGATCTACTGCAACAATGCCGTATCGCCCCGAAGCAGCAGCGGCTAAAAGCAACAAATCGCAGGATCCCGCCCCACTGCGATTTTTCACCATCCAAACAGTCGGTACCTATAGTCTCCATTGTAGTTCCTCTCTTTGGTTTAACCAATTTTATACTAAGGATCCTAAAGGGTAACCCCAAAAAGGA